CTTTGTGATTTTTCCTGTTTTTTTTTTTTTTTTTTAAGATTTTATTTATTTATTTGAGAGAGAGACAGACAGAGATAGCAAGAGAGAGCACGAGCGGGGAGGAGAGGGAGAAGCAGACTCCCGGGCTGAGCAGGGAGCCTGACTCCGGCTCCATCCCAGGACCCTGAGATCATGACCTGAGCCTCAGACAGACGCTTCACCGAGTGAGCCACCGAGGCGCCCCTGTGATTTTTCTATACAAACCTCTGTTCACATATCTGAGCACTTCCCTAAGAAAAAGTTCTGGAAGTTAAATTCCTTGGTCACAGGTTAGGAATAGTTTGAGGCTCTTGCTGCATATTGCCAAAAGGGCTTTCTAGAAAGTCTATACTCACTTAAAATATAATTTAGTTCAACTATATTGAGTGCCTACTACTTTATTGAGGCAGGCATGGTCTAGGGGCTTGAAATACACCGGTGAACAAAACGAATCTTTCATTCTAGCAATTTCACTCTTGCCAGCATTGTGTCAGAGTGCTTGCCTTTGCTGTATGCTTGCCAACACCAAGAATTATCATTCTTAAAAAGCTTCAAGAAACAAAAAGCAAAACAGAATGCTCCAGTAATTTGAATGATGAAAAGTGGTACGTTGTTATTATGTTCTTTTAGATTTGATTACTAGTGAAGTTGAATTACTTCCCACACATTTTCTAGCTAATCAACCAATTGTCCTATTTTTCTTTAAAAGCTTTTGAAAACCTTTGAAAATAATTTAAAGGAGGCAGGAAGTTTGGAAACATCAACAGACTTAATATATATCTTGGGAAATAAGTAGCCCTCAGGTCTAGTACATAAGCTTTAGAAATTGATTTGAAGCCAAAGAGCACATATAATGCAACTCTCATGTTCTGGAGAGGGCTTTTTAGTCAGGAGCTCCCTTCCAATTTCCACAGAATTTGAGAACTCTGGACCTTTCCACTGACTATAAGCCAGAATGGGGCGGGGGGAGGTGGAGGTGATACTTTTCCTCAACAATTTCAACATCCCAGGGTTATTTAAGAGCCCACCTTAATATCAAATATGTTTTGAGAGCATTTATATTATCAAGCTGTATCACTGCTTGGGGTTTCAAGTTGCACAACTTTTCTACCCTCTGTGTGGGGGAAGAAAATTATAAATTCCCCGGCCCTACATAAAGGCATATCCCCCACTTTTTATTAAGATAAAATATAGGGCACCCGGGTGGCTCAGTCGTTGGGCGTCTGCCTTCGGCTCGGGTCATGGTCCCAGGGTCCTGGGATCGAGCCCCGCATCGGGCTCCCTGCTCTGCACGAAGCCTGCTTCTCCCTCCTCCACTCCCCCTGCTTGTGTTCCCTCTCTCGCTGTGTCTCTCTCTGTCAAATGGATAAATTAAAAAATCTTAAAAAAAAAAAGATAAAATATAGCGGTGCCTGGGTGGCTCAGTGGGTTAAGTGTCTGACTCTTGATTTCAGCTCAGATCATGATCTCAGGGTTGTGGGATCGAGCCCCACATTAGGCTCTAGACTCAGCGGGGAGTCTGCTTGAGATTCTCTCTCTCCCTCTCCCTCTGCTCTCCACCCCCATTCTCTCAAATTAAAAAAAAAAAAGATAAAATAAAGCATAAGTGAGATAACATACAGCATTGTGTAAGTTTCAGGTGTACATTTGATACATTTATATTGTAATACAATTGTTATTGTAACATTAGCTAACACCTCTGTTTCATCATGTAATTATCATTTCTTCTAGTGGTGGGCACAATTAATATCCAGTCTCTTAGCAAGTTTAATGTTTAAGATACAGTTTTGTTGTCTATAATCACTGTACTGTACATTAGACCTTCAGGACTTATTTATCTACTAGTTGCTAGTATGCACCCTTAAACAACATCTCTCCCCTCCCCCACCCCCAGCCCTTGGTCACCACCATTCCACTGTTTTTTTTGAGTTCAGTGTCTGTTTTTAGATTCCACGTATAAGAGATATCATACAGTATTGTATTTCTGTGTTTGACATTTCCCCCACTTCCAAAAGTGCTTATTTTTGAGGAGAGAGAATCAGGGCTGAAGAGAAGGGCTTTAATTTACCTTTTGTGTCTTTCCATAGTTTGAATTTTATGACCTTAAACAAATATGACTTTAAAAAAATTTCAACATGTGTTATCTGGGTGGGAGTTCATGACTTATTCTTAGTTTTTACTTTGTATCTCTCTTCATTAGAAAAAAAAAAACCCTGGTAAACCATTTATAATTTTTAAATTTCCCCGGTTTTGTAAAACAAAATCTGTGTGTGTGTCCCATGTCTGCAAGAATATAAAGCAAACTGCTAATGTGTGGGCCCTGTTTAAAGATTGCCTGGGGAGCTGGGAGAGAAAGAATGAATTTCATTTTTTCTTTTATGCACTTACATATTGTTTAAGTTTGTTACAATGAGCATGTATTACCCTTCTACATTTTTTTCACAAAAGTAATAATAAATCATTTTTTTTTTCCTCCTGAGGCTAAAAGTGACATGTGCTCATTGAGGAAAATGTAGAAGAGTACAAAGAAACTAACAATCACAACAGTTAACATTTTAGCATGTTTCCATTTAGGCTTCCTTTTAATGCATGTTTTTTTACATAGCTGAGTTTTCATACTGCATAGTTTTGTAGCCTGTTTTTCTCTCTTAAGACATAAGCATTTTCCCATGTCATGGCATGTCATAATAATATTTTGTGGTTTTGTCACATTTCAAGTGGATTAATTAGCTATTTCTTAAAGTTTAACATTTAGGTTGTTTCCAATTTTCTCATATTAAAAGTGATTTTCTGGGGCGCCTGGCTGGCTCAGTCAGTAGAACATGCAACTCTGGATCTCGAGGTTATGAGTTCGAGCCCCACATTGGGCATAGAGCTCACTACTTAAAAAAGAAAAAAAAAAGTTTTTCTGATAAGCATCTTAGTAATGAAATCTTTGCATGTCTAAGTGTTTCCTTGCCATGGATACCTAGAGGTCAAAGAACTGGACCAAAGAGTAGATTTCTAGAAGTGGGATCAATGGATAGAGTATTTCTATGAATGACAAAAGATTATATCAATTTCTACTCCCAACAGTGTACAAGAGTCTCGTCACTCTCGGGCCAGCCTTGTAGATCATCCTTTTTTGTTGTTGTTGCATCTTTCTGACAGGAAGGTGGTACGTGACAGCGGTATCTCCATTTTTCATTGCAGTAAGACTGAACATTTTTCATATGCTTACCCACCATTGGCGTCCCCTCTCCTGTGGACTACCTATTTCCATTTTTGCCCATTCATTGACTAGCCTCTTCTGGATTTTCTTATCAATTAAAATGAACTCTTACAAGGTATTAACCCTTTCTCTGTCATTAGATGAAAATATATTTCACAAGTTTGTTGGTTTTTAAAAATATCTTGGCCATAGACTTTTAAAACAAAAGATAAGTAGAGTGTAACTCTGGCCTTGGGCCCTCAGTTTAAGCCTGTTTTCCCTTGATTACATGGAAGAGGTTTGACAAAAGATCTGTGAGGGCCATTTCAGCTAACCCTAAATTTAGATCTGTGGGGGAAAAAATGTGTGGGCCCAACTTAAGGATTATTCCGCTCATATGTACTTTTAAAGGATTTAAGAAGATGGGGTGGGGGCAGGGATGGAAGAAGTTGGTGCCAGAAATTTTTAGAATTCTGAGGTAAGACGCCAATTCTCTCAAATCTCTTGCGTGTTGAGAGGGGGAGTAAATTATGTGCAAGCGAACAGAACTCTTGATGGAAAAGTACTGCTCTGGGTTGCAGATGTGTGCAGGGCTTGGTTTTAATTATTTTTCCCCCTTCTCTCTATCCTTTCTTCCGCTCCCCTCCCCCCACCCCGTGACACTGAAGAGGGCGGCCGGATTAGGATTCTAAAGGGTAGAGACGGCCCTTCCTCCGTAAGGCCTGCTCCTGTGCAGACGGTTAGCCCATCAATAGCCGGTGGAAATACCCAGGAAAGGAAGGGACCAAACTTAGGATCTTTCCAAACTCCCACTTTCGTCTGGGATACAGCACAGGGTTATTGAGACTGCCAAGGGTAGCTCGACAGAGTTCAAATAAAACAACTCTGCCAACAAAGAAACTTCGGTCATTATTCTGAGCCAAAAACAAAAACAAAAAAATGCAACAACAGAAGGCCGCTTGCTGATGCGTTGGGACTGAGCAAATCTGTGATTGCGAAAGGGTTTAGATTTCCGAGAATGAATCCAATTTCATCCGGCGAGCCGATCGGTCTCCCCCAGATATTGGGAGAGTTGTCAGGCAGGGGCCTGTGCGCTGACTTGAGCTACACGGGGGTGTCCACGCCACAGCCTCTGGCGGGGAGGCCTGGAGAAGGGTCATTAAGGAGAGTAAAAGGGGGTTCTCAAGGTGGAAATGGGTAGTCTGGGACTCCAAGGTGGAAACAGGAGCTCGAGGAGAGTTTCCTTCCTGTCCCCCCCAAGGGAGCCTCACGGTCCCCGGGGGGGATGGGCGGGGAAAGGTGAAGCTTCAGAATGGAAGGCGAGGGAGAAGCTGAAGCAAGAGAAATGGAGTCGTGTGTGGCGCGCATCAGGTGGCCGAGCGGGGCTCGAACCGAGCTCGGCAGGGCCGAGGCTCTCGGAGTGGGTCGGGGTGCAAGGAGCCGGCGAGAGTGCAGGGGAGGGCTGCGCGCCGCGTCGCGCTCAGCTAGAGGCTGGCGCGGGGATGGCGTGAGGCTGCGGCCGCCGCCTCGCAGGTAGGGCCGGGGTGGGGGCGTGCCGCTCCCGCTGCCTCAGCGGGGGTGGGGGGTTGGGGGTGGGGGGCGGCGGGATCCGGCCGGGGGAAGGGGAGCGACCGTCCGGGGCCCAGGTGGGGGGCCGGAGCTGGACGGGCCTCTGCGCCCCGGGCGGGCGGCGGGGGAGGCGGGGCCCGGAGGCTCCGCCCGCCCCGGCCCCGCCCCGGCCCGCCCCGCCTCCTCCGCCGGCTAGTCCTTGTCCGCCGAGCCCCGCGCGCCACTAGCTCGCTGAGAGGGAGGAGGAAGCAGCCAGTTCCGGAGCCCTCCCTAGCCCGGCCCAACCTTTGCTCCAGAGATCATGGCTGCCGAGGATGTGGCGGCCACCGGCGCCGACCCGAGCGAGCTGGAGGGTGGCGGGCTGCTGCACGAGATTTTCACGTCGCCGCTCAACCTGCTGCTGCTCGGCCTCTGCGTCTTCCTGCTGTACAAGATCGTGCGCGGGGACCAGCCGGCGGCCAGCAGCGATAGCGACGACGACGAGCCGCCCCCGCTGCCCCGCCTTAAGCGGCGCGACTTCACCCCTGCCGAACTGCGGCGCTTCGACGGCGTCCAGGACCCGCGCATACTCATGGCCATCAACGGCAAGGTGTTCGACGTGACCAAAGGCCGCAAGTTCTACGGGCCCGGTAACGGCGGCCGCCCAGGGGACGCGGAGACAAAAGAAGGGGCCCCGGCCCGGGGCCGGGGGAGGCGAGGGGGAGCGGGGCGCCCCCGAGGGGAGGAATGGCGGCTCCCCGGCGGTCGTGGCAGGGCGGCTCCCCGGCGGCAGCGGGCAAGGGGCGCTCTAGAAGGGCTGCGGCTGGCGGGAGACGCCGCCAGCGCCGGGATGGGGGTTGGGGGGGGCGGAGAGAAGGCTGGAGCGCCGGGGGCCGAGGGTGGGGGGGCGAGCTCCCCGGCCTGGAAGGGGGGGCACGGCCGCGCGCAGTGTCGAGGGAGCTTCGAGGGCATGGGGTTTGGGGGTTCCTGGAAGGAGGGGCGGTGTCGGGCTGGAGAAGGGAAACGTGGGCGTCTCGAGGGAAGCGGGGAGGGGAGGGCGGAGGGGGGAGGTCCAGCCTGCGAGAAGACGCGAAGGCCGCTGCGGCCGGGAGTGGCCGCGGCGTGTGTGAAGGTGCGGGAGCAGGAGAGCGGAGGTGGGATGGGCGGCAGGTAGCAGGCGAGTGCGTGCGGGCAGGTGATGTGTGAGTGCGTGGTCCGTGGCTGGGGCTTGCCGGGCGCGGGTGTGCGTGCACGCGCGCGCTCGGAATGTGGCATGTGTCAGGTATGTGTGGGGCATGTGTTTGGTATGTGTGTGCGCGTGCTGTGTGTGGCCGACCGAAAAGCTGGAAGGTGAACGGGGAGCCTCCGTGGGGGTGGGGGGCAGCTGACGGAGGGCGGAAGGAGGCTGAACGTAGCGGACAATGGGAACGTGGCGAGATGAGAAGGTAATACAGCATTTTAGTCTTTAGCGGGAGAGAAAGCACTGGAAGCCAAAAAAAAAAAAAAAATTAAAAATGGAGGGAGGGAGAAGTGGGAGGATCCTGGGAAACAAAAGGGGTAGGGCTGTGAGGGCTGCTGGGTGTGGGGATTTCAGGAAAAGCCAACCAGAGGGGAAATGGGGGTGGATGACTGCTGAGCCGTTGGAGGGGGGCAGGCTTGGAGGGTTTTAGGGATGAGGCTTTCTAAGCCTGGTTGCGGATCAGAATCACCTGATGCGCTTGAGCAAAAACACCGATTCCCGGCTTACTCGCAGCCACGGTGGAGGAGGCTCTGTGGGGGAGGTCCAGTAATCAGCATTTTAAGCGGCTCGCCCAGGCGCATTTGAGAAGCGGCCAGGTTTGGAAAGTCGTGCCCTGTAGAATATTCCGGAGAGGGGGAGGAAGAAATTTTAGCTCCTCTAATATGGACTCCTAAAAACGGGGAGCTCAGGGAGTGTGTCCACATGGAGGGCCCTCTGGCTCACTGGCCTGGAGCGACGGAAGAGGATTTAGAAGGCGGTGATCTCCATCATCTCCACTCCTGCCCTGTTTTACTCGCCCAGCCCAACTAATCAAAATCAGATGGGTTCAGGTTCTTCCCGAACTGGTCCCCTTAGCGGTTTTTCTTTGTGGCTGATTTAGAAGACCTGCATTCTGTAGGCCATGTAACTGTCCAAAGAATTTGAGAACCACACCTTTGTTGTTGTCACTTTCCCTGTCACTTCCACTTTACATAATCGTGTAAACAGCTGTCTCTCCTGAGCTACACCATCAAGGATTCCAGCCGGGTACATGGAGCAACATCATAGGGTTGTAATTTGCAAAGTCATTGAGAGGAATGCAGGCCTGTGCACAGAAACACAAAACTCTGGGAGTCAGGCGACCAGAGTTCTAATCCTGGTTGGATTACTGACCAGCTGTGTGACCTGCTGCAAAGCACTGTTCTCTCTGGCCCTTAGTTGTCCCCCTGAAAAATGCTAAGGATGGCCCATTGTGAGATCTCCTCAGTCTCTGCTCTGCGGTATCATCCCGTGAGCCCATGAATATGTGACATCATGTGCAAATGATCGTTCATGTTACAGAGGATTCTTAAAAATTACTCATTCCAGTGCCCATTATTCAATGCATGGCACTTTTGTAGGTACTGGGAATACAGCTGTGAGCAAAACAGACACACATCTCCTCTCATGGAGCTTACATTCTAGTGAAGATACATTCGGGTGAATAACCTATATTCTCCAAAAACTTTTAGTGCTCCCCTTGAGCCATTTTTAAGTATTCTGTGACCATAATCTCTGAAGTATCAAGGTCCCTTGTCCTGGTCCCAAACCAGAACAATTGGCCTATTTTCAAGTACTAGATGCTACCATATCCACTAGAAGTGTATACACACACACACATTTGTGAAAACTGTAATGGTTTTTTTTTTAACCTTCATTAGTAAACATGATAGTATATAATGAAGATCACAAACAACCAGTTTTCTTTAGAACCTTATTTGCATTTAAAAGTTGATCATAAATTTTGTCTAATTTGTGAAAAAAAAAATTCCTAGGGGATTGAGGTTTCCAGTGACCAGGCCATCTTGAAATTTGATCTCTTCTCATACTTGGCATAGCGGTTACCTACAAACTTTAATGTCAGAGTTGCGACCCATTCTACCTTGGGGAAACAACACATAGTTTAAAGTACACTGGCTTCTTTTCCTTTACTTGTGAATATTTAAATAAGTCTAAACATCTACTTTACCTACAAATAATTCACCACTATCTTAGACAAAAGTTCAGTATAATATATAATAACATTCTAATGTTTCATATAATTATTTGGAGATATTAATTCAGTCATTTTTTTTTTCCGTGAAAATCTAAGTATTTTGAGTCTTCGAGCTCACCAGAGTGACGGAGCTGATCTCCTCTGCTACCTCTTTACTGAGAGTGTAGATTATGTAACATGGGGATAGATTTCTGGACCACTGATACTCTTACCAAATGATTTTTGCTGCAAATGCCAGTCTCACAACTGAAGATCACTATAAGATACTTTTGACTCATTAAAACATATCAGAATACATTTCATAAGGAAATGTTCTCATTTATATCTTAGTACTTACTACCTCAAGGAGCCATAACTTTCACTGGTGTAGCCCAAATGCCTAGAACAGAGACAGGCTCTGGGTTCAATGTCCTAAAGTTGAATTCTGACCCTTGGATTCAGTATTATCTTGGATGATTTCCCACCACCACCACCACCACCACCCCATCCCGCCCCAGGAGATAATCATTCGTGGCTTTTTTATTAGCTATTTGAGAATCACAGGGAATGGATGATAATGTATAGCAAATTGGTTTGTAAAAGTTTGACAACAGGTCCTTGGGGATCCACCACATAATGATGAAAGTATCAACATCACTTCTGGTTTCCAGATGGAATTTGATACTGCAAAAGAGGGCTGTCTTTGTTGATGGGTAAGGAAGCCATTTTCTGTGTATGAACCACAGAGAAATTGACTGTCTAATAAAGAATTGGTCTTTGGTTTTGTTTGTTTTTTAAGAGGGGCCATACGGGGTCTTTGCTGGAAGAGACGCATCCCGGGGCCTTGCCACATTTTGCCTGGATAAGGAAGCACTGAAGGACGAGTACGATGACCTTTCTGACCTCACTCCTGCCCAGCAGGAGACCCTGAGTGACTGGGACTCTCAGTTCACTTGTAAGCATTTTTTAAAAATTGTGCCTGGATCAAATTTCTACCAGTAATGGGATTCACAGCAGTACAATAGTTATTACTAAGCAGCCTGAAACTGGGGAGCATTTTGATAGGCTCCTGAATCTTGGACGGATCAAGTTCATGGCTTGAAGTAATTGCAGCAATGCTGAGTCACTTGCTGTGATTGCATCCAATTTTTAGCTAGTTCTCTGTGGAAACTTGGGTTTCTGTTATTTAAATCTTTGACAGGTTCGCGTAGATTCCACACTAGGATTTGGTGCTTGGTGTGTAGGGGAAAGGATCTGTAGGCTACAGAGAGGGACTTTCAGAAGTCCTCACTAGTAAGGCTTGCTGTTTAAAAGCAGCCCACATTTCTGTCAAAGAATGGGAGACTTGTGTTCTACAAAACAGCTTCTCTTTGAATCTAATTGAGCCTAACGGTAGGCCTCATCTACAAATGATGCTTAAATCTGCCCAGCAACAATGGTGTCTGCATTTTTAAAAAGAGAAAAAAAGGAGCCGCTTGTTTCCTGGCTTATGCTATAAGGCTGAGGTCTTTGGGAGGAGGGGGGAGTGAGGATGGGGGTTAAGTTCAAATTTCGGGAATTGAGGAATCGGCTTTTGTCAGACCTAAGTGTCTAATGATCACTTTAGCAACACTGCACTAAGAATTTTGACTAATCTTTCCCAGCTTTAAAACAGTATATAAAGACCATGACCAGCGCTTAAAGATTTTTTTATTTTAAAAATGTATCCTTTCTGTTTGCTGTTCTCTATAGCCAGTTAAATATTACTGACTCTTTTGGCTAAACCGAACCATTTTCTTTGAAAATAATGCTGACTTCAGAGTTCTGGGCTAATTATTAGCCAGCTGTGGCTCCACCTTTAGGTTCTGGGTCCCAAGCAGACAGAAGTAGAGCTCTCAAGCCTAGAGGCAGGTCTTTTTACTTTGAAAACATAATTCCCCTATCTAACATCGCCCCTGATTTTTTTGGTATGCTAAGGATGCCTTTCTAAACATAGATTTTTCTATGTGGAACCAGCAAGTTGTAATTTCTAACTCACAGAGCTCTATCTCCTAGAGCTTGCCTTCCCCAAGGAGGCGAAAACTGTGGAAAAACGTTCTCCCCCTTAAACTAAGACCAGCCCCCAATTCTGTGGTGACACTGGCGCACCCCTCGAGACTGGCGTGGGTGCCCCTTGAAGCAGGTTGCCCTGGCGCCAGCAGGCGTGTATTTGTTGTGCAGTCCTGAGCACCCCAGGGACCTTTATAACGTGTTCCAATAGGAAAGTTCCCATTGTTCCCGGCGATTATTCCACACAAAACCAGGTCCGGCTACCTGGTTAGACAGGTTGGTTACTCCTCTAATTCCTGCCCACAAGCCGAAAGTCTGGGCCTCGCCTCAGCCAGCGGTAGGATTAACCCTGCGTTAGCTGGGCTGCAAGGATGCGGCCGGCGGGATGGTGGTCTGCGGACTCTTGCCCTTCTCACGTCTTTTTTTTTTTTTAATTTTTTATTTAAATTCAATTTCGTTAACCTATCCTCTTATTAGTTTCAGAGGTAGAGTTTAGCCATTCATCAGTTGCCTCTCACACCCAGTGCTCTTTCCATCACGTGCCCTCCTTCATGCCCGTCACCCAGGTACCCCAGCCCCGCACCCCCTCCCCTCCAGCAAGCCTCCGTTCGTTCTCTACAGTTACGAGTCTCTTATGGTTTGCCTCCCTGTTTTCGTCTTATTTTATTTTTCCCTCCCCTCCCCTATGTTCATCTATTTTCTTAAATTCCACATATGAAGTCACATGGTACTTGTCTTTCTCTGACTTGTTTTGCTTAGCATAATACCCTCTAGTTCCATCCACATCATTGCAGATGGCCAGATTTCCTTCTTCCCCGTGGCTGGGTTTCTGGTTTGCACTCTTAAATCTGTTTTCTCCAGCATGTCTCGTGCCCTCCTGGCCTCCTTAACCACTCGCTTTAACTGCTATGCATAGCTTTTTCCTTGTGTTGGGAAAAAATTTGGTCTCCTGCTTCCCTCCATCCACCAGACTCCTCATCCCTTCCCTTCATTGTCAACCGCCTGCGAAGTGCTTGTCCCTAGCCACGGCTTCATTTCCTCCCCACACCTCCTTACTCCCTGCGACAGTTTCCAGCCCAGTTCCACTGGGCTTCTCTTTCTCAGAGCTTTCCAGAGACCTGCTTCTTGCCAGCATTGACTTCACTTCTCCAGCCCTTGTTGTGGATTTCCTGGCGGGTGCCCTCCCCACCCCACCCCCGCCGAGGGACTCCCTTTCCAGAGTCCCCAGCTGGGTCCACGGAAGCTCCAGTTTTAACTTCATTAATTCGTGTTTCCAGTTTTCCTTTAAAGTAGCTCATATCCTAGCCTTTCCGTTCCCATGGACACCCTACTCCTGGCTCGCGTTCCTTCACACACAGATCTGCCCACTGGCCTCCTGGGCCGCCTGCGCCTGGTCTCCTTGCTGTGCTCTGCCTGCTAGGCCGCCACCACCCCACGTGTGCCAGAGCACTGGCTTCCTTTGTCATAAACCCTTGCCACCTATAGGATTCAGTCCGAACGCTTCAGGCTGGCGTTCCACAGCCTTCCTAGTCTCTTCCCCACGCTGCTTCCGCCCCACACTCACTCCCACTCTGTTGCTGCCCGCTTGGTCTCTCTGGTGCTCCCCAGATCGGGTCAGTCTTGCCTGAGTGCCTTCGTACGCGGCGCTGTCATTTTCTGGAAACCCCTCTCGCCTCAGCTCCTTCCCTGCGTTTTCCAAAGCATAGCCTTCTCCGTCAGGTGTTCTGAAATCCTTCTAACGAACTCCTCATGAGCCCTTGCTCTTCTCACCCGCTCCTGCACGCAGACACGACTCACTTTGACCTTCCCTTGCACACTTGGTGCCCGACATCACTGCCTGTTTGGTATTTCTTCCGAATGAAACTCTTAATTCCCCGTGGGCAAGGACGGCGGGGTGAGTCCTGTGTGACTGACAGCTTTGAGGACCGCAGGCCTCTCCCGAATGCTTTCAGCTGAAATGTAGTGCCCCTCTGTGAAGCCTGAGAGTGCTCATTTGTGTTTTCTTCTCTCCCTCCAGTCAAGTATCATCATGTGGGCAAACTGCTGAAGGAGGGGGAGGAGCCCACTGTGTACTCTGACGAGGAAGAACCAAAAGATGAGAATGCTCGGAAAAATGATTAAAGCATCCCGTGGAAGCATATCTATTTTTGTATTTTGCGGAATCATTTGTAACATTCCAGTCTGTCTTTAAAACATGGTGATTTCAGTATTTCGAGCAGTTTCGAACTTGCTGTTAAGTTTTTGTAATTAACATCACTAGTGACACTGAACCAGTTAACTCTTCTGTCTTCAAGTGCATGGCGTGTTTGTGTGTCACAAATCCAGACCATGAACTGCAGTGCTGCGATCCAAATGTTAGGACTCTCCCCTTCTGTCTGTAGTTAGTGCAGGCTGCCTTTAAAATTCGTTTTTTCTTGAGCGAGTCAGGTAAGACTTGGGTATTTCCCCCAAACAGGTAAAAAAAAAAAAAAAAAGGTTAACTGTGCAAAGTCCTTCTAGCCCCGAGAACAAAGGATCAATTTCTAGTCTCGCTGTCCTCAAGATAGCAAATCCTTTATTTCTCAATTGACTTAACTGCATGATTTCTGTTTTATCTACCTCTAAAGCAAATCTGCAGTGTTCCAGAGCCTTCTTTGGTATTGATGAAAGAGAGCTGCCCAGTTAAAAAAAAAAAAAAGAAAGAAAGAAAGAAATCTCAAAGCTGGGCTCGGTTGGGAAAAGTACATTCACTGTGTTCGTAGACTGCATCATTCTTTTTGTCTTCTGGACACTCAGATGCCCCCACTAACACAGCAACGTATGGTAAGACTTAAAACAGGATCTGAACATTCAAAAGAAAGCTTTGGAAGAGATCCGCTGGCTTGCCGAAAAACCTAAATATATGAAGAAAACGTAGAACTATCTCCCCTATCCCCACATTCACGGTGGGACAACGGTGATTTCACACAGTTTGCCGAGAGAGGGGGGGTATGCTGAACAGGAGCAGACCTCTGCTCTCTGGAGAGCCTTCACACACTCACACTCACACACACTCACACACACTCACACACACACACACACCCCCCCCAGGAATGAAGAAAGTACACATCACTAGCCAAGTGGTTTTTAAAGTATATTCCTTAAGGTAACAGTTATTCTTCTGTTGTTACAAAACCATAGCCACTGCAAGAGTAGTAGGCCAAGCGTCTAGGTCTTTGATACTGGTCTTTTGGTTAACAATAAACTTCGCTTAAGTAGACTGTACAGTTGTATGAATTTGTAAAAGTATTATATGAACAACTAGTGAGGTTTCCAACTCTTGTAATTGTAGTTGAATAGTCCTTGTATTTTCTTGTGAACCGTGTCATGGATTTACCTCAAATCAGGAAACAAAATGAAGTGCTTTGGTCAGTTAATAAAAATGGTTTTACCCAGTATAGTGTGGTGGGTTTTTAAACCTTAACCTAAGAAACCAGATTCGATCATTTTACTTTAGCTTAATACCCAGCTTCCCTTCTGTGTGTGTATGTGTGTTCCAAGAGGAACCAGTAAAGGGGCAAAACTTCAGGGATCTCACACCACAAACCAAGTACCAGCTTGTCCTGTTAAGAAACAGTGAATTGAGGGGCACCTGGGTGGCTCGGTCAGTTAAGCCCCTACCTTCAGCTCAGGTCATGATCCCAGGATCCTGGGATCGAGCCCCATGCTGGGCTTCCTGCTCAGCGGGGAGCCTGCTTCTCCCTCTGCCCCTACCTCCCACGTGCAGGCTCTCAAGTAAATAAATAAAATCTTAAAAAAAAAAAAACCAGTGAATTGACATTAGCTAAACCGCCCTAATGAAAATGTGCAAACTGACTTTTTAAAAAGTTAGTGTGAATTTATTTTTTGTGACTTGTCAAATTCTGCCTATTTTTTTTAAATTTTGTTTTATTATGTTAGTCACCATACATTACATCATTAGTTTTTGATGTAGTGTTCCATGATTCACTGTGTATAACACCCAGTGCTCCATTCAATACATGCCCTCTTTAATACCCATCACCAGGCTAACCCATCCCCCCACCCCCCTCCCCTCTAGAACCCTCAGTTTGTTTCCCAGAGTCCATAGTCTCTCATGGTTCATCTCCCCCTCCAATTAACCCCCCTTCATTTTTCCCTTCCTGCTATCTTTTTTTTTTAACATATAATGTATTATTTGTTTCAAATTCTGCCTCTTTAAGTCAGAACTTTCTAAACTCAAATGCACCTCTGCCTTGAGGTCCATAGCAAGGTTATTAAGGGGTAACTTTACTAAGGACGACATTAAAAGTGCCTGGGCAGGGTTGGTTGATTCTGTTTTCAGACACCATCCATCAGGAAAGCGTTTGGAAATTCTGAACATGCTAGCAAAGTTAATTCACCTCCTGTCAAAAGATCAGATTTGCATATTGCAGTTCGTTGTGTCAGCACAACTTCTTTCTCTGAATATTAGTGTTTTGCCGTTTTAACGTTCAAATCAGCAGAGTTTTCTTACAAGGGATGTACTACTGGGAGAGGACACTCAGCTTTCCGCTTTTTATGTTCCCAAACCATTGCCTGTTTCTATTGTCTTTAAAAGAGCCCTGCCCCCCCCCACTAGGTTTCATTCAACCAATATTCAAGTTGCCCATTTTGTGCCAAGCACCCTGTTAACACCGAGTGCTACGGGGAAGGGGTGGGAGAGAGAAGCTGGGCCACCTTGCAGCCTGAAATCTCATTCAGATGCGAAGATTAGGCTACTCCTTTCTCTGAGTTAAATGGGTTTGATGCCAAGAGCAAACCGTCCAGAGCCTGGTTAAAGCTTCCATCTCAAATAGTCAGATTCCCCGCCATTCAGAATGAAATCAACATTGTACTGATTACATGTAAAAGGATATTACAATAAGGCAACACTTCGGTCTAAAAACTTCTCAAATCCAGCTAGCATATTCAGAAACCACATTACATAAAAGGCACCATTTAAGATGGGGGGAGCAGTGGTTACAGGTGCCCAGCCAGTGGGGGCGGTGTCAGGTGAAACCCACGGGTTGGTTCCCCTGCTTTAACCAGCTCCCCCCCCGCAGAGGCACTGTGTTCTCAGGATTAGCACCTCTGGGTCCTAAGCATTCTCTCCGTGGTTTCCCGTACCTCTCCAGATCTGTGGCTTCTCTGCATAGTGACACCTCAGAGGGCCCAAGAGGCTAATCCAAGATCTAGAACAAACATCCAGACAGCCCTTGCTGTTTCAGATAGTGCTCTTTGCCCCCCCACCAACAAGGACCCTTTCAGCTGTAAAGTACCCAGATTGTACTAAGGTACAGCCTTTGTTATAGAACACTTGGAAACAGTTTGCTGTATGCGTCACGTCAAAACGCAGGTAACTCCTGACTGATCAAAGACTGACTAGTGAAGCCCCTAGCTTCTCTGACTAGAACCCCCCATCCCACACCCTCACTGATATCAAGAGACTGTAGAACTTGAACACTGCCACCAGGTGCTGAAGGGGAGAGGGGAAACGCCACGGGGTCCATTTCGCTGCCTTCTAAGATTATTGATAAAACCTTTGCTGAAGGGAGGATAGTCTTCAGTCCAATACTGTTATTTCAATTTATCCAAAATGAAGATAAAACTGTGATCTTCAGCTGCATGACCTCTGACATAGTCCATTCCCAAACATCAGCATCATATAGGGAAAAGTTGTGTAGAATCAATATTAAAACTGGATGTGTGTGTATATTTTCATAGAAAATGCTGGAGATGTGTGACATCCTAGCCAATGTGCATGGTAAATGAACAGACTCTAGTCACCATGACCATTTTATTTTTAATATATCTGAAAATTTACTATGTACTATTTCTCTAACAATGCAAATGAGACAAAGGGTCGGGCACAGGAGTGCAAAGCAGCTTACTACAAGTAGAAACTCATCCCCCCCCACAGTGGAATTATTAGCATTTATTTAAAACATTTTAAACAGTTTCGCAACAAATAAAAATACATTTATTTGGTTCTTACTTTCAAAATTACCAGGTTATGTGGCTTTCTACCTGAGAAATTCAAACAAATTGAACAAAAAGACATTGACAGATTTTTAGTTTTCTTAAAGCGCTATCAGCAGCACATACAAGGGAAACACATTGAAAACACCTATTTAAAAAGACAGAGTTTAAAGTTCAGGCCCTTACTTACTTAATAGGTCATAGAAAAAAGATATGAGAAAATACTTTTGCACCACTTAAGTAACAGCACAACGAAGAAGAACAATGTTAATAGAAAGTGATCACAATATTTTCGGTTCTATTTCATTCCTTACTAAGCCATTCATTCCACCGAAAAGTACAGGATGAATTGTTCTCTTCCTCATTTAAGGCCTACACACACAAAAAAAGGTGTATTCAAATCTAAAATGCATTACCACAAGACATATAAAAATCCAAGGTTGTACAGAAAGTAAACATGAAACCAGTATTTTTACTTACTTCTAGGCCCCAGGATGGTACTTAGCAAACAAAACCAGATAAAATATTAGATAGAAGTGACTTAGCACCAGTTCTATTATACCCCCCCATAATTGCACATGCTGTATTCTGCAATTTCTTTCTTTTATGTCTGGTTACTGAGCAGCAAATTGTTTTCATGCCTAAAAATCTCTGCAAAGAAAAATTATCTAATGGCAGAAGAAATGAAGATTTGTTTTCAAAACAAGCATAACTGCTTTCCATTACGAACCCCTAATGTTCTTTGTTTCAGTGGCATGAAACATGAAAAAAAAAATGAGGCAGGGTCTCACCGGAGAGAAAATACCTAGTTACCAAAAGTCTGACAAAATACAAGCTCTTAGCGTTTTAAAAGGCTACTCTGGACAACAGTACTTTGAACATTAATAGTCCTTGCTAGTCCTCAGAGGAGAAAAGGCACTCACCCCATGAGCCATTTTTCAAATGTGACAAGCCAAACCTAGTTGTGATGGCAGAGTCACTAGCTTGAAAGTGGAACTGAATACAAGGAAGCCCACAAATCATTCGTTGGTTATTGTCTCATTAATAATAAGCATGACCTGCTACGTTACATTCATTTTTTGAACTTTTGCATGAACTAGCATATCTCGATTACATGTGATTAGGAGAGATCAATGAAACAATGTGCGGTTCTTAACTTTCGGTGAATTAGAAGATGGTGTAGCCCCTTCAGATATCAGGCTGCTCAAGGGGCTGGTTCTGAGCACAGAACGTGCCTCATCATTCAGGGCAACCACACTGACCGGCATCCTACCCTTGGCCCTACCAGCTGGTACTTTTCTACAGAATGTCAAGTTAAGACCGAAATGAATCACGCCCTATGAGAATGTTGCCTTCCACTACTTCTGTGAATGGAAATCTCCTTTTCCTGCCGCAGCCAGTCTGAGATCTCATTGACGTCTTCCACTGCCGAGTCAGGGATAGCTTTGTTGGGAAAAAAAAAGGTCATTTCCTGCCCCTGAGGTCCTAAATCCTATATAAGGCAGAATGAATCAGCTGAGCTTTCAATAGAACATGCACTGCTTTAAGATGTAAGTCTTTATGAATCTATAAAATATCTCCATTTAAAAACATATTCAAGAAGTCCAAAACCAGTAGGTAAAAAGATAAATTGCTTCTGTTAAGAGTTTACAAATCCTGCACACATACCATTTTTCCCTAGCTAGAAAACTAGGGCTTTGCCCTTGACTCCTCCTAACTCCATGGCATTATTGAGGATTGAGGAGGCACTTGTTAATGTTTTATAAAAGTCAGTTTGGGGATAGTCAGTGGCTTTTTACAAACTGATGTCACCCAACCCTGAGTGAAAGAATTACATAACCTGAAATGGAATACTGCCATGTCCTATCTTCCCAAGTGCCCTTAGTGGTGTCCCGGGATCCTTCCATGTTGCCTTTTGCAAATCCCACTGGTCATTTTACTTCAATTCTCTTGATTTTCTAGGATGGAATGACA